TAGTTAAGATGTTCGGGATATGTGGTGAGCGGATTTTAGAAAACTTGATATCATGGCTCGTTCAAAGCAAGATTTGCGGAACCGATTGTCGGAGATCGGTGGTCTTGTGTGGGTCCTTTCAAGTATATAGGAGGCTCCATATCTTCGGAAGAGCACACTCGTCATTTGGTAAATTTCACATTCTTTATTATTATTAACTTATTTCATAAAATTTTAATTTTCTTCTCATATTATATGTAATGGATTTTTTTTCAAACGAGTAAAATTAGGATGTCGACCAATGAGTTTTGAGTTGTTCAAGACGACACACAAGCGATGAGATTGTTCATTCATCGATCGACGCTCTCGGTAGCCAATGGTAAGTGTTTTTCAATAAAAGTATTAAATATGAAAAGATAATCCAAAATTTATTTTAATCCTCTAATGATGATATCATTATTTTGATTACGCAGGAGCATGTGGAGTAGCTCATAAATGAGGCGAGTTGCGGCTCATAGGGAGAAAGGAATTTTAGAGCCGAAGTTGACCGAGCATGTCATATACCTCGAGGTCTGTCGAGGAGAAGAAGAAAAGATTTTATAGTATAGGCACACGGTCGGTGTATAATTTATCCCGGTCGGGTGGCAATAGCTCCTCCTCTACGACGTCACATTACACTCGTCGATGCGACTAACGAAGAGCTTCGAAGAGACTACGAGGCTACGAAAGAAGCGATGAAGGGGATGCGAGTGATACTAGACGAGCTTCAAAGTCAAGTGGCGAGCAACGTAGTCGGATCTCATAGCGACATCCGACTATTTATAGTCCGAAATCTCGGTACGAGTCGATGGCATCCTTAGTCATAAGGCTGGCACAAACAATTGGGGTGCCTATAGATTCATCGATCGATCGGCAATCTATAGTTTCTTCCACTCGACCTCCAGTTCAACCTCCAACCAAGCCTTGGAATAGTTACGAAAGAAACAATAGATCCCACGACAAGATTAGCAATGGTTTTTTTTTTTTTAGCGAAGGATTTTTTTGTCGCTAAACATAGCAACGGATTGGAATTTTCGTCGCAAAATATTAACGACAAGCAAATTAATGACGGAATAATGGCAATTAGCAATGGAATTTTTTGTTGCTAACTGTTGTTTTTTTTTTTTTTTTTGTGAATGTATTCGTACATTTTTGGGGACTAAGTTTGCTCAGAGTCGAATCTTGAATTATACAACAAAAAATTCAAGAACCTGGGGCTTGAAGAGTTGAACTTCTAGAGTTCAAACGCACAAAATGCCTGCTTTGGGGAAAAAGGGCATAGGTATATAGCTATGACAAAACCTGCAACTAGTGCTCATGTTTTTACGTCATATTTGCCTAAACTTGCAAGTAATGGTAATATTTTAGAAAAACAGACTCCTACATAAAATGGTGGCAGGAGCAAATTATTATTTTTTATACATTTTTAAGAAATCGAATTTTTATTTATTTTTGGAAGAAGTCACGTATCTAGTAAAGATACTCCTGATCACAAATTTTGAGCCCAAAACTTCATATTCTTGATCAAATCTTATTGTTAGAAGGTCGTTTCCCTATTTACTATACCTCACTAACGTATTAATTAATGACTTTATATCTGTGTGTAATGATACATTATTGATCAGCTGCCTCTTCCGACGAAGCAAAAGTACATTAATTGTAGTTAAGAATTGAGTGATTTTACTTGTCCACTCCAGGACATTCCATAATAGCTACTTAATTGTCTAAAAGCTAAACCCTAAAGATATTAGCACCAATTAAATTAATGTGACGCAGAAGGCAGGTAAATAAAGTTGTAAAAGGATGGTATTAGCTTGGAATCCACTGTTCGATTTGCTCCATATATTTTCGGATCATAGGACCATTTTGATCTATGTAACAAGCCATATATAATCATTGAACTTCAATTGTTGCCCCATCCATCTTGAGTGAATTTGCAGCTGAATTCATTAGCACTGGAAAGTACATTATTTGTTAAACTAGTAAGTCTTGAAATCAAAGGGCAATCATTATTCATTAGGGCCCATGAAGTTGCAACCTAATAATTCCATGCATTAATATCAAAATAATTCTTTTCTAACACTTATGACAGCTATATATTACCCAACAACATAGCTTTAACTTCATGCCCTATTAAGCAAACATTATGATTGCAATTTCTTATCCAACTACAATTAGAAAGCTCCTACCTCTCCACTCAAATGGAAGACCCTAAGTAATAAGCCAACCACATTTCATATGGCATTGTGCTAATTGATTGTACAAATAGAGACAGTTATTCTAGCTGCTTTTACTGATTAATCCATTAGTAATTGGTACTCAAAGAATGTAAAGTTAATACTCTCATATATCCTTATATAATATGTAAATTTTTCAATTTATTTTTAAATTTTAAAATGCCTCTAATATGCTCTTTTTATTTATGCTTGGTTTCTAATTATTATTTTTTTGTCAAAATTTTTGATTAATTTATTAAAAATTAATCATTATATTAATAGATATAGATCATTTGTGTCAATAACAAAAGCAAATTTATAAAATCACATGTTTAATTTGACCAAAAATTTTAATTAAAATAATATATTAGAAATCGGTTCGGATAATAAAAACAAATCGAAAGCATTTTAAAATTTAAGAACAAATTAGAGAATTGGCTTATTATATAAATATAGATGAGGGTATTAATTCAAGAATGTGAAGTAATGTTTAGACATTATTTATTAGGGTAAATTTTGAAAGCAAAATAAAATTATGGTGGGGGGATTTTTACACAACACTTGTAAGGTTTGGTTCCAAAATACAATTAAATAAAGTCAATTCATAACAAATTTAGGACGAGGATTATTTGTAAGAGTTTTTTTTTTTTTTTTTTTTTTTTTTAAAAGAGAAATACGATTATCATAATAAGGATTTTTCAAACCCAAGGACCCATTTCGGAAAAGAAGTTTAGGACCGCATTGCAAGGATCCAAAGGAATATATTGTAATGATTACAGGATGGAAGCACGACAAAAGTTAAAAATGAGGTATGAGGATGAATTCATAACAAATGAGAGTGGTTGTTCCTGATCCATTTTCTACACAAAACTTATGGGAACTATGTTCACTGAAAAAGATCAACATCTAATCAAAACATTGCGCCTTTGAACCAGATGTGGATCGTTATGGCTCACATTCAATCGGTTTGAAAGATTTTGACAAACCATTGTTGATGTTAATCTGTTTATGTTTTCTATTAAAAACTAAACTGGAAAACAGAAGGACTTGATCCCAAACCAACCGTTAGAAAACATTTATTCATGGGGGGAAAAGGGGGAAAGCATGAAACCAAAAGCAGGCTGGATCCTGCTACAATTATTCTTTCCCACATCGTCACTCCATATACCGAACTGTCTGAACATTCTGTTGTCTTCAATAACAAGTTCAGACATAAAATCAAACCACCACTCAACTACCTATTCCACTCCAGTACTCTTGCATCATTGTTCACCACCTCTCCTCTGCTTTTATAGTAAAGGGTCATTCTTTTCCCAGCATTTATGTACAGAAATTCAGTTTATCTTTCTTATTTATTTGAGAACACAACGTTCGTTTCGTTCAAGTATTCAAAAATTTATGAAATTTATTCTTTTTATAATTTGATTATAAATTAATATTTGAGTGCTGGAAGTTTCTAACAAATTAATCTAATTATTTATGTTGTTGTCATTCATTTTTCTTTTTTACTTCTACTTTTACGGAGATGGAAATCTTTTGGTATCAAGTTGGTTAATGAGCTCGACCGACATTTCTGTAGTATCGATTTTTTCTTAAAGACGTCTTTCATCTTTGAAATTTCTTTATGCAACCCCTACACTAGTGGCGTTATTTGGCTGTTAATTTTAGAATATTCTTCAAAATATTTTTTATATATATTTGAAACAGAATAAAAAAGATAAGAAATAGATAAAGAATAATAAAAAAAGACTTTAAACAACAAATATAAAAATAAGAACCAAAACTGAAAAAAGCAAGTCCCACCAATTTTTTCTTTCCTTGATTTATAATTAGATGTTCATTAATTAAAACATTAAGTAATTAAAAAATGAAAATCAAACAGTAAAAAAAACATATAAAAAAAATTGGAATTTTTTTTTAATCAAATACATAAGAATTCGGATTCATGGTTTGTGATAGTTTGTTTTTCATGAAAATAGATGGGAGAGAAATATGCTTTTTTAAATACGAATTTATGATGCTGTTCATTTTTTTTTTAATGTATAAAATGATTAATTATATGTGAGGGGAAAGAAGTATTGATAGGACCTAAATTTCAATATTTTTTCCTTCTATTTTTTTTTTTAATATAACATAGTATATTTCAAAGTTAACGGCCAAATAACATTTTTAGTGAAGGAAGAACTAATGATATGAATGGAGTAATATTACAAGGGCTGGATTAAAAACTTTCAAAGATGAAGGACGTTATTAAAAATAAATCGATATTGCAGAAATTCCCGAAGTCATGAAACTTGGCTGGAGACGAAGTTACCACCCTAGGACCAACCCCTTTAACCATCAATTCTTTCTGAACAAACATTAACATCAGATACCCACCCCTTAGGTTAGATTTGATTCATTCGTTCATTCCTTGCACAGTTGAATGTCTGTTCATTTGGTCAGATCAGAGAAGAGAGTCTCTGTCGGTATTTCACGAGGGGCCCGAGTTCACATGGGACCCACATTCTATATATGAAATAAAATAAAAAGGAAAACTATCATCTCCCTCTCACTGTCTCACGCCACAAGCCAGCGTCTCTCCGTCTCTTCCTCAAAAATCTTGCCATGTAATTTAACTCTTGCTTCCAGCATTATTATATGCAAGAATCCAAACATGAAACTACGTAACAATAAATCCAAATGTAAAATCAGCCACCTTTAGTTTTAACCCCTTTTTGACAGTCCCTCTCTCTCTCTCTCTCTCTAAGATTCTTTCTAACAATAATGGATTCAAGAACTCTTCTTGATCATGCTCTCTTTCAACTCACACCCACCAGAACCAGGTACATTAAGTATTCCACACCTAAATGCATAAACACAGCATCTAATGTTCTTCAAATGTTTTACATTTTGTGCTTGTTAATGGGTTTTTTTTTTTGGGTTCTTGTTGCATGAAGATGTGATCTGGTGATTTATGCTGGTGTTGTGAATGAGAAATTGGCATCTGGCCTCTTAGAACCATTCCTTCAACACTTAAAAACTGCTAAAGATCAGATATCAAAAGGAGGGTATTCCATTTCTCTTCGTCCTCTGTCTCCCAATGCCTTCTGGTTCACTAAAGCCACTCTTCAAAGGTAATTACTTTCACATCAGAAAAATGTTATTTCTTGTTTATTGTCACTGCTTTCTGTGACAGATATTTTGGTTCCATTGAGGTATAGTCCTAGTAATTGGTGCAGTGTTAATTGTGGAAAAACTTATCTGGCAAAAAAAAAAAAAAAAACTGTCTGACAAATACCTTACCCCGTAAATCTTGCTCAATTTGACCAGATTTTGATGGCATGTTGTAGTAGAGTTTGTGAGGGATCAATTTTTTATGGTGGTTTTTCTAGTCACGGAAAAGTCTGATCTTTTAGTTGGTCGGTTGCTAGTAGATTGAAGGTTTGAGATTGATATTTGAGTCAACTAGTGTGGTTTTATTTGTCATTATTAATCAAGATCATTATTTTGAAATTTGGAGCGATTTTTAAGTTAGTACATAACGAAGTTGACATTAAGAAGTATTTCAATCTTGAACTGGATTTTGAAGGTTACTTGATCCAATCACCTGTGAATTTGGTCAACTTTTTATTTGCCTGAAAATGGCTATCAGTCATAGTTTACTGTCCCTTGAGTCTGGAATCTGAACTGTGACAAATTGTTGGCTTAAAATTTGTAATCTCTTAACAATGACCATATAGCTGATAATTGTATGTTGATTTGTCACTTTATGATTGTTTTTGTCATTGCAGATTTGTGAGGTTTGTTAGCTCACCAGAAGTTCTTGAGAGATTTGTGACAATAGAGACGGAAATAGAGCAGATTGAGAGTTCCATTCAATCAAATGAGCTATCAAATGGAGATGCAGAAGGTATGCTTGGAGCTATATTTTTTTGTTCATTATAACAGCATGGATTACTTACCATGCTCTTGGTTGAAGCTCAATCTTGATACTTTGGTTACATTTGATTTGGCTGTTGATATAAATTTGCTGTTCATTGGTAGTTCAATTGGAAAGTAGGGTTTACACATAACTTGCAATTGTCATAATAATTTTTCTGTGATCTTAAGACATTGTGATTTACTGAACTAACCTGGATTTGAGAAAATCTTTCAGGTGCTGCTGGAAATTACCAAAAGTCAACTGTCTCATCTAAGGTGTGTCACTTGGTTGAAACTCCATAATCATTTGGTGACTTTTTCCCATATCCTTACATCATAATCCAGACCTGTATTTTGATGTCTTGTTTTTTCAGTCAAGAGGAGATCAAAATGGAGGCAGTGATGGTGTACAAGAAGAAAATTCCAAGTAAATATTTAATTTTGCAAATCGCCATATCTGTTGATGTGATGTACTGAATACTTGATTGAAATGCCTTCAAATTATTGAGCATTGACTGTTCAACCCATGGTCTTGAACAGGGTTCGTCTTCATCGTGCTTTGGAAACTAGGAAAGCTGTTCTTCACAAAGAGCAAGCAATGGCATATGCCCGTGCCTTGGTCACTGGATTTGAACCAGACTTTATAAATGATCTTATCTCTTTTGCTGATGCTTTTGGAGCTTCACGTTTAAGGTACACAGCATATATCAATGGCCATTCAGCATATGTATTGTCAATAATGACCTTTTTCTTTCTTTATATTGTCATCTGGGAACACATTCTTGGAATGCCCACACCCCCATTCGGAACCCCTTCCCAACTGTCCTCAGGCTCAATTGGCACTCGAGACAAAATGCTAAGCGGTGGCGCAACTAGTTTAACTGGTCATTGACGAATGACATAGTAAACGAATACATGTACTTTTGACTTTATGGTGGCTTTGTGTTTCAAGGAAACAACCTAGTTTTATGAATTTTCTCTTAGCTTCAGGATTCTGGATGTAAGGTTTTTGACCTGAACATCCTCCAGATGAACCTCATTTCTTCTATACTTATGTTAACCTCATTTCTTCTATACTTATGTTCAAACCTGCTCCCTGCTTTAAATTTTAGTCAAGTTTTAAAACCTATATCTGATTTCACTCAGTGAAGCATGCATAAATTTCGTGGAACTATGCAAGAAGAAGAATCAAGATCGGCTTTGGATGGATGAAATAGCAGCAATGCAAGCATCTCGGCTGGAATTGCCTTATCTTGGAACTTCTGGTATTGTACTTGCTGGTGAGGAAAATTACCCTGGTCAAATTGGTGGTCTCTCTGGCGGGAAGCATAATGGTTCGATCGATGCATCAGAATCAGCTACAAGTCTTGGAAGTTTAGACCTAAACCCAGGTATGGTTTATTCTTATCATTCATGGAATGAAGCTATAGTGGTTAAGATTAATCTCTCTCTGCAAGAGCATTTAGGTGCAAGTGACATCAAATATGCCTTGCTGATATCTTTGTAACAATTGCATTCAATGTAGGAAGTAAATGGTGATTTCTGTTTCACTCTCTATTGGTGTGGTAATTCATTATTATTCCTGAGTTTTCTGTTCTCCCTTTTATTTCCCATAGCTGATGAAAATAAGTTGAGAACTAGCAATACTTTGAGGTTTAAACATTGTACTATTGGTAATCTTTGATGTCACTGAATATCTTTACAGATAGTGGTTTGCCAACATCAGCTCAGATGCAATCAAATGATGGGAAAGCTCATATGCCAATGCCATGGCCAAACCATCATCCTCAGTACATGCACAACTTTCAAGGTCCTGTATTTCAACAAATGCCGCCGTATCAAGGCTACCTTTTTCCTGGTATGCAGTATGGCTCTCCATATTTTCCGGGGAACATGCAATGGCCTCCAAATGTTGATGATTCTACCCTTGGTCAAGACTGGGAACCTGATGATCGTCAGAAGCATAGATCATCCTCCAGGCACAAGAAGTCTTCTCATCGAAAAGATGTGCAAGCTTCGAATCAAGATGAATCCACTGAACCCAGTGATTCAGAAACTGAATCAGATGAAAATCTGCCAAGTGACAAAAATCAGTCATCGTTTGATAGGATCCGCAGGAAAAAGCATGGGAAGAAGTCCTCAAGAAAGGTTGTCATTCGCAACATCAATTATATTACTTCAACAAAGGATGAAGAAAAAGGCAGCATGTCTGACACCACATCTGATGAAGATGAATTTATTGATGGAGAAGCTCTCAAGCTGCAAGTACAGGAAGCTGTTGGCTCATTGGAGAGACGGCATAAATCAACCTCTCGACATCACAAGAAATCACAGCACAGCGCTATAGATGGTTCGAATGATGCTACTGATCAGGAAAGCAAGAATATAACTGCAAATAATCTTAAAGGAGAAAAAGGAAAGGACCACTGGGGTGCCTTTCAGAGCCTTCTCCTGCAAGACAGAGAGTTGGACTCTTTTGGAACTGAACCACATCCCCCACAGATTCAGAGAGATGACCTTACAGCTAAAAGCTACGAGGTGGGAAGGTCATTGGAATTTAATCTGGAATCTGAGGGAATAAGGAAGCAAAGAGCATTATCAAATGATTCATTCATCGCAACAAAGAAGGAGCCTGGTTATGAAGGTAAATCTCACGTTGAAAACTTTGAAGCTGGTGCAAATGTCCACCCAATGATAAAGAAAAGGGATAGCACATATGAGTTGTTATTTTCTCAAAGAGCTGGAGAATCAGGGAACTATCCCCGACATACTGCTGCTGAATATTCCACTGAATCTCAAGCAATCAAAAGTCAAAAAGAAGGGGATTGGTTTTTTAGCAGCCAACTGGACAAGTCAGTAAACAGGGATCATCACATGGACTGTAAAGTATTTAGTAGCGATTATGATTTATCATTAACTGGTGAGCATTTCCAAACTGAGAAAAATAAGAAAGATGTTCTAGCGGATGACTCATTCATGATCCAAGCTCGACCTTTAGTAGATGATCGACCTGATTCACTATTACGGACAGACATAAGCATTGCTCCAGATGTAGTTGAAGCTACTCAATATGAGAACGGTACAACAGAGATTTCGCACGATAAATCTAAAGCATTTGATGTCCATGAACCAGATGACCTTTACATGGTGCTTGGGCGGGATTCGGCTGCTGAGCATGCTTTATCGCCTTGGACTCCAGAAATGGATTATGAAACAAATGCTGCTCGGGATAAGCTTTCTTCTAACAGTACAGGCACCAATGGCAAAAAAAGTGGAAATCCTGGTGGAAAAGTTGCTGGTAAAGAAGCCAGGTCAAAAGTTCCTAATGGATCTCTTGGTAGGAGCAAATCTGACATCATGTCAAGGACGAAGAAACCAACTTCTGCAAGCAGAACCACACTTCCGAAGAGCAAATCTGAGAAGGTATTCGACAAGGATTTAAGCTAGTATTAAAGCATTTCTCCTCTTTTGCTTCATTCCCTTGATGGAAACTGGAGCAAGAGAAATCCTTTTGCTTCATTTCCTTGATGGAAACTGGAGCAAGAGAAATCCTAAATGAGTTTCATTGTATCTGAAATTGTTCAACACTGTTTGGTTATTCAACTTCCTGTCTTGATTATTCACTAAACTATTATTTAACCTCCGATTTTTGGTTGATGCTTAATTTTATCCACCTGAAAACAGGAAGAAGAAAGCAGGAAGAGAATGGAGGAGTTATCAATTCAACGTCAGAAGAGAATTGCAGAAAGGAGTGCTGCTGGCAGTAGTCCGGCAACATCTAAGAGAATCCCAGCAGGGAAAATATCTACTGCAACCTCCACAAAGAATGAGAGGCCTAAAGTCCAATCTCCAAGCCAAGAAACTAGGAAATCAGTCTTTAGAAGTACTACCATTGATCGCCTTGCTACTGCTCGGGCAAAACCAAAGGTGCCACCAACTGAATCAAAACCTGCCCAACCCAAAAAGGCAACCTTGGAGGCAACTAAATCAAAACCTGCCCAACCCAAAAATGCAACCTTGAAGGCAAATGGTCTATCGCAGAAGGCTGCTGGTGCTGGAAATAATAAACCTAGTCCAAACACAGTCAAACATGACATCAACCGAAAGGAGGATGGAACAATAGCTACAGCAGCGAAGCCTGTGGATTTAGTAACTACACAAGCAGCTCAATCTGTAGATGGAATTGGTGATTTCAAAGACTTTAAGGAGTTATGCAGTGTTGCCTCAACAGAGAAGAATGCAGGAAATATGATTTCAGGAGATAACATAGATGATAAAGGCTGCAATGGTGATTCACTTAACATTGACTCTTCTGCCCAACATGATCACTCAAAATCAGGGGACGAGGGGTTCACTAAAGTAGCTCCAGTTGTCTGTGAAGTCATAAAAACTTTTGATGATCTTGGTCAGTACATATCTGAAACTAAAATGCATCTTGTACCAGAGTCACCAAATAAGGCTCTGAACCTATGTGCTGTTGATAATAGAGAAAATGGTGGATTCTGTGAAATTTTGGAGTCCCACGAAAAATCTGAAATAGAAATATCGACCCCACCACCTGATGTAATAAACCCAGAACCAGTCCACTCCAGGAAGAAATGGAGCAGGGATGAGAACTCTCCTAAAGCTGCAAAAGGGTTTAGGAAGCTTCTTTTGTTTGGAAGGAAAGGCTGAGCCACTGCTGCGAATTGATACCAAGGGACAAGTGGTTGGACTTGTGAATACGAGTGTTTGGTGATGCTGCAAATGGGAAAAAAAAGGTGAGATTAGGAGATAGTTTTCATACGTAATAAGGCCTTTGGTGTTGCTGCCATATGCATATATTTTGTAATTTATCAGGATTGAGATTTGCTAGGTTGAGGATGTAAAGAGTTATTCTTTTATTTGGTGTGTTTTGGGTCCTTATATCATACACGGAATAGTTTATGAATCACTTTGTAATATTCATTCAAATTTCTGTTTTTGATGTAAAACCAGAACTCCCTGCTGCTTTATTATTTTGAATACTTACTTTCCATGACGAGGCATTGTTCTTCACCTTGGTACCTATTTATCTTGAACAACTAGTCTTTGGAGTTTGTAGGCACTGTTGAACTTGCAATTTATTTTGATCACATTCATACTCGGAACTTAGGGTTTTTAAAATCTTACACTGAACACAGCAGTATATATGAACCGACACATAACCATCAGCAATTATAAAAACCAGGAATTTACTGAAACTAGTCAAAGGTGTTGGTTAGATAGTGCGAAGGATTTTTTCTTCTGTATTCATTAAACCTTACCGCAAGAGATTAGACAGCTGATAAATGTGATAGCAATCAGTCTCCCTAATACATCATCTTTTAAGTTTTCAATAATAGAAGCTTTTGCGGTGCCTATATTCTGCCTTGATATCTGTAAATTTAGCTACTACATCTTCATAGTTTGGGAGCTTTGGATGGACATGGCTTGATAAGCTTCCATTATGCACTTTCCATTCATCGATTGAACTATCGAAAGAACGTCGATCTTTGACTGGAATTTGGAAACGGTCATTGCTAGAGGGAGGAGGTACAGGTTTCGCACCTAACCTTGGCTTGGCTGGCCTTTTTGTCACATTACTGACACTGCTAGGGCTTGCACTGCTATGACAGGAGTCCATCACACTTCTGGGAGCTTTCTTACAGTTGCTGTAACTTCGCTTCCAAGACTTCACTTCCAAGTCGCCAAGATAGATATAGGATTTCTCATGAATCGGAAGAGTGCCACAAGATGAAGGACTAGTCACTGATGCTTCAAGATTTCCGATCAAAACTTCATTTCTCTTACTGTTGATATGACTTCTACCCAAACTATCTGAACTAATGCAGTTCAAATCATCATAATGTGACCCAGTTTTTGGTGGTGTCCTGAATTTTGAAGCCGGGATGGAACCCTCATCGCTGTCACTCCAAATATCTTGGATGTCCAGATCCAAAACTTCAGCTTTCTGCACAGATTCGCTTTATCATTAGAAAGAATGCAAATTCAGACTAGGAAACAGAACTAATAAAAGAGATGCTGAAGTTGAGTTTATACTAGAAAGGTGGCCAAAACTGCATAGAAAGTTTATACCAATTTCTGCAACTCGTTGTTTTGTTGATAAGCTTGAAGACTTTATCCAATTGAAATTATAAGTAATCTTAACAGGTAAGAACAGCATGTTCCAACATATAAACTCACCTCCTGCCACTGTGGTCTGAAACTTCGCCCAAAACCCTGAAACCCCAGATGAATGTTGTACTCATCAGCAATTCCGTTTATTAAACTTAGCTTTACATTCTCTGGCACTGAATTCACAGATAAGTTCTCTTTCATCCTAGAATCCACAAGATTTCCAGGCAATAATTCAACATTGGTAGTCTCAAATTTGATGCCGTAACGAATCTTGAACAGGTTTCGCAGCATTTGTAGCTCTGGCAGGTCACCACATCTTGAGGCAGCAAATATTAGGTTTGATATCGCCTGGCTGACATCAATAGGCAAGCATTGCCAGGTGCTGCAGAAAAATATGGACTAGTGAACAGCATGTTTAGCTACAATGTCACGAAGTAGAATCTAAAAGAGTTACATATATGTGTACCATTGCTGTCTAACGTGGGGCATATTGGTGATGATACATTCACATAATTGGTTGATCTGATCATATGCAGCCATTAGGCACTGGTCCTTGTAGAGTAGCTGGACCTAAACATCATTTTAAAAGAGAACTTTTGACCGGAATCAAGCTTAATTGAGAGAATGAATCATAATGGGAAAACCAAAGAGTACCCTAGTCATAGCTTGCTGAGGTCGGCCATTCTGAAGGAGTTGAGCAATATTGGCACGTGATTGTCTTATCATTGACTCTCTCCTAAGTTTTTGTGCAGCTAGATGAACCTGAAGTTGCTCTGTCAGCCTCTTGCTGCAACACAAACACAAAAGAACAAATTATTTGGAAATGGTAAGAAAATGAACCTAATCCCTAAATGAGCTCGTCCTCTCAGAAAGCAAGAGAAATTTTGGACTTGCTAAAAGGTGGGAAGGGGGTTCAACGGCCAACTAAGTATAGTTTTTCTAGCTTGGTATCTCAACCCAAATGTTGAGACTTGAGATAGGTGTGTGAGAATTTCTGAATTTGGGGCATGAGAAAATTATGTCATTGTGGAATGCAGAATGGTTGGTACTTGGTAGCATAGTTTTAAATTGTGGATAGTTAAAAAAACAGTTGCGATCGTCTTCACGGATGACGGCTTATTATAATACTAAAATAACGATAACGACAAACTCTAAAACCTTTACAAAACAATTATTATATAACGTAATGGTTGTTATTTAAAACTATGCTTGGGAGTTTGGTAGATATGCCACATGCTTACCACTTGGTGTCTCTTCTCCATCTTGAGGATTTTGTCCATGCAAGCACAGTGTTGAGTACAGTAGACCACATATTTTCTTGCATGCGTAATATGCAATCAAGGAAGAACAAGAAAACACAAGAACAAATTAAGATGAAAATGGAATTTGGGTCTGGGATGCTTTTTTATAGTGAAGAAAAAATGTTAGAGGACATAATGTTTTGATTTATGATCTGTGGAACGTATGAAACTTGTATCTTAGATTACCAATTCAAGAGAGATGTACTCTTAATGCTGCAGTCCAAGACACGGTGTGCAACTTGTTTCCCTTTTGGGGTTATTTCCTTCCATTTTCAAAGATAAAATCAAAGCAAGAAAAGGTAAGTGAATATCTGGTGGGAAGAATCCGGAACAGACCTGTTGACTACAAGGTTCTAAAATTTCTAAAAATAAACTTATAAAGAATGATGTATTTAACTATGAATGAAGATTTTTTTTCCAAGTTCTGAAGTATTTTATAGATTTCTCCAAATTCATTCAATCACTCAATGGTCATATATATATATATATATATATATATAGGAAAATGATTTATTACTTTCTGTTATCATTACACTTTCTATGTTTTTTATCGCTATGATTAATAGCATCGATTCAAGGATCTTCTTGCCAAAATGTTGAAAGACTATATATCTTATGAAACGGCTCTCTCTCTCAGCAACTCTTTGAAAATGGGTTTTTCGTTTCTAAGCTGTACTGTCCTAAGGGTTGTCAAAAAGGGCAAATTCACCACCACCAAAGACTTTATATTTATATTTATTTTCTTTTTAAAGAAGAATAGGCCTAACAGTGTCAAAAAAAAAATTATATATGGGATTGCTTATTATCAAATTCAATCCATGTAGGTAATTTTTTAAAAGAAAAAAATTAAATAAAAAAGGAGAGGGATATGTATTTCATTTTCATTTAAATGTTTAGCTAGGTATGATCATTTGGTTTTTTATTTCAGTTTTGATTAACAGAATCTAGAAAAATAAAAATCAAACTCGAATCGAATTACTCGTTAGTTTTTTGGTTTTGGTGTTTTTGATTTTTTTTTTTTTGAGAATTTTTTTTAAATAATATAAATAGATCAAAAACATCAAGTCCATCATGCATCTATAATGATATTAAGATATTGATTTTTTGGTTTATTTATATTATTTTAGAACTTAAAAAAATGGTTTTGGGAACCGAACTAAAAATTTCAAAAACCAAAAAAATTCGATTTTTTTTTATTAAATTTTTTAGTTAAAAATCGAATGGTGATCACACTATTTTTTTTTTTTTTTTTTTTTGAGATATTTCGATTCTGTTAAGTTTAATTTTTCAATTTAAACTAAATGGTGTTGACTCTAGACTTAACTCAATGTACAAAATTGGAGAAACATCAATTTAGTCTAAAAGCTATATAATCATTCTCAATTGCATCTTAAATCTACGAATTTTATTAAATCATTCTCAATTGCATCTTAATTCTACGAATTTTATTAAATCATTCTCAATTGCATCTTAAATGGATTTATTTTATTTTTTTCTTGGAATGTTTTGGCTAAAATTGATTAAATTTATAGGTTTGGGGCTAAATCGAGTTCAGCTATAAAACGGATGGAATGCAAAGTCCCAAAAAGACTAAAAAGGCCTTGAGCCCAGAAATTAGAGCATGATAGGCAAACATAGAGCCTAATCCAAAGCTCAAAGGCAGCCCAACGAATTTTGGAAGCGCTGAGCATTCCCCTCTATCCTGTTCTAACGAGCATTTTATTCCCCTAGGTAATTTTCACCATTATGAAAGGTTTCTTTTTTTTTTTTTTTTGAACATTAATAAAATTAATTTTGGAAGCCCGCATTTTTTGTAATAGCATGACATAATGATAAATCATATAAATTTATTTGTAATTTATAAGTGAATTTATGTATCATAAGTAATAATGATTTGAAATGATAAATTGTAGAGAATTGAATGAAACCGATGATTATGTTATTGAAGTCGTCTACAAGACCATATCCATGTTTGCTTTGTTGCTGAAAAATTAACTTCACCTTTTGTTTCATGTGAATGACAGGAATTGGTAGCGTGGAGACAGAGAACATGAAGATGGATGGAGGCCCACATGACATCCAATTAGATGCTTAGGCATTAACTGTTCACAGGCTGCACCAATTTATAAGATGGTGAAAGGACAACCAACAATGAAAGCAAGGTTCCCCTTTCCTTTCTTTTCGGCTTTTACACGCATGCCCATCCACCACAAACTTCTCTTACACATAATATTATCAAATGATATATTGAAAGTAATGAAAAATGCTAATACTTGTGTAATTCTTACAATTGGATGGTCTATTCTTGCATTTAATCTCACGTTATAAGTAGAATAATTCTTTTTCCTCATTTCCTAAAATTCTATCACAAAGCACCTTTTTTAGATGCTCTTTTTTTCTTTTTTTTTCCCCTTTTTCATAACAAAAAATGACATGAGAAGTGAGTAAATTATAAATTAGTCCCTCTTGTTTTAAGAAACAAATTAATTGATTTTTCTTGTTTTAGGTAAAAACTATTAATTAGTCGTTTAATCAGCATTGATAATTTTTAATTTAATATTTTTTTATTTCATAAAATCTCTTTTTTTTTAATTTCTTAAAATAAAAAAAATCAAAATAAAATAAAAATAACTAAATTATAAATATATTTCAAAATATGAGGATTGGATTATTAGTTTTTAAAATAAAAAAATAATTAAATTATTTTTTAAAATCAAAGAGACTAATTTATAAATTAACCCATGAGAGGTATGTTGATGATTTAGCTATTAATTGAGGGACATAATTAAATTTGTCGAGACTTGAGAACGATACCCGCCCCAAGTCGCTCTCTATCTTTTTGATTTTGGGTAGCCTTTACGACATCGAAGCATCAGATTCAGATCTGTTCTATTTTTTCTCTTCTTGGTATTGCTTCACCGACATCAGTCGCATCAATCTGGGTCCATTCTTTGCATTTACTCAATAAGTTGTTGTTATTATTATTATTATTATTATTGTTTTGGCCTTATTAATATACTCCAATAAAACACGAATAAGTTATAAATTAGTCCTTTTAATTTTGAGAAATAATTGATTAGTCCTCATATTAAAAAAAACTAATTATCTAGTCCTTTTATACATTTTATGTTATTTTTCAATTTATTTTGCTTTTAGTTTTAAATAAATAAAAATTATGAAAAAATTGATGAGAAAAATTTTTTTTTTTTGCTATAAATTAATCTTAAAAAAATTTTATTGGACCTGTTTTATGGGTTTTATCAATTTCTTTTTTAAAAAAATTCTTTATCAATTACCTCATAACCTGGTTCATTTCATTTTATTTTGACATAAACTCCTTAATGATGATAAATGGATGAAACGTTAGAAGCAAGTTTTTTTTTTTTTCCTTAATTCGACAATAATGATATTCTTGAATTAATTTACATATTAATCGAGATTAATTTTTTTTTCAAACAATTTTAAAAATACATATCTTCAACACCGTGACATATCAACAATGGGTTGACTCTACCTAAATTAGAAGATTCGATTAATTTTTATTTTGGATTTTACATGTACAAAAAAGTTTAATAGATGTTATAGAAAATACTTTACTCTTCCGAGATTATATATTTATATTATATATATTATGTTTACAATTATATTTTATAGCATAAAAAAATAATATAAATATAGATAGATATAAAAGTATTTCGATGAATTTTTTAGATGAAAAAAAACTTTTTATAAGATGATTTTTGTAATTATTCCTTTGACCTTTTGGGATAGGAAAATATTTTATAAAAGACTTACAATATAGCAAAAATGAAAACAACATACAATTCCCAAAACACCCTTGCAACTAAATTACCTACTCAAGTGAAGATGGGCAGGCGAGTGGTGACATACCTATTTTCAATGACCTGAATTGGGTAAACTGTCTTTTTCATTACAGGTATAAAAACGTTGTCTTCTTTTTCACGCTTTTTTTTTTTCAATTTTTATACTGGCTCGTTTCTCTACTTCTTGTATGCTTGCACAGTTTGGTCTTTTGCATATTCAGAGAAGAGGGACTGAGGGAGGCAGAGAAGAAGCTAAAGAGAAATAGAAGGAGCGCTGCAAGATCTGGGAAGAGGGCAGTAAAGTTGCATTCCAATGGCTTCAAAACTGTTGTTGATTACTGTCTTTATCTTTGATCTCATAGCATTTGGTTTGGCTGTTGCAGCTGAGCAGAGAAGAAGCACTGTGAGTGTGTTTATATATATATAGTCCCTTCTTTAATTTTCTTGGTTAATATTTTGGTAACGTGTACCAAGTTAGTGCAATCTTCTGTTGTCTTTGTGGTCTCTGGTTTTCTTGAAGATATAAATGTGAGGTTTTGGGGTTTTGCCAGAGGGGTTTGTTTGGTTTTCAAGAAAAATGAAATAATGAGAGAGAAGAGTACTGAATCTTGGGTTTTGCCAAGTTAGTGAATATGGGGATCCATGTTTAATTGTATGGTTTCTTCTTTTTTTTGGTTTGTGAGATATGTGTGATTCTGCTAATCTGTTTTGTTTGGTAGCTGAGAAATCGTGAAGAAAATGAAGAAAGATTGAATCTTGATTGAATATAAACCAATTGAAATGAATCTTCAGTTTCTTATCTGAAAATGTTTAATAATTTAATGGCGAAATAACAATAACAGTTATTTTAGCTAGTTGAGCTGTGCCTTTTCTTAATGGGATGGCTGTGAGTGACACTATTGTAGATCCTTTTTTGTTTCTTTTTTCTCAGATTTTCCTGGGAATCATATGACCAGAGTTATTGATAGTGTTTTATGGAATCATACTAGCAGATCTAAATGCAATAATATTTTTGACTTGATGAAGCAAAAATTTTCAATGTTAAATTGGTACCAAAAGTATATTAGCAATCAAATTACCAGATCTGTTGATACAAATAGTATTTTAGACTTTTAGAAATGAAAACAACAGATCACCACCTTTCTCACTACGTATATCTATGACTCTAGTAGAAATGAACTGATGCATGAATGAGATGGCAAGGAAAAAGAAAATTTTCCAGGCAGATTTTGTTTGCAAGATTTATTTATAACCTGGGGCATATTTAGAACTTTTTCTCTAAGTCGCTGGGGGTTAATATTTCGGTATCTTTTTCACCCTGTTATTGATGGATACTTACCAGCTACCAATTTCACAAGCAGAGAGAAGGATCTAGATTGATCTTTACGTTTCACCTGTACACAACTTTCCCGGCCATCACATAGTTTATTTGTTAATAGTCGTACTTGTCTAAGTAGAAGAGAGGTGGGTTTTCCTTTTCTGGGGCCCTCATGATGTAAATCTATTTCCAAATTCAAGTTTCTTTGCTTTCCTTACGTTTTGCCAGCAATCAGATTAAACAATGAGTCATTATAGCCAACCTGGAGATGAACTTTAAAAAATTATATCTTGAAAGTCAATATGTGGCTTTTTAATAGATTTTGAAACTGTTTGGAGGTGCAATTTGAGATCATAATTGACACAAAATGCTCCCCAAGATAGCAACAACATGTCTGGTAGACCTCTTGTTATAGCAATCACCTATCGGCAGCTGAGTGGTTTATTTTTAGTGACGCAACAAATTAACAATATTTTGTTTTGCAGGCCACTGTCCAACAGGATTCTGAAAAAGATTACAATTACTGCATCTATGATTCAGACATTGCAACTGGCTTTGCTGTTGGCGCATTTTTGTTCCTATTGGCTAGCCAAGTCCTTATTATGTTTGCCAGTAAATGCTTCTGCTGTGGCAAGCCTTTGAGTCCTGGAGGTTCAAGGGCCTGGGCAGTTATCCTGTTTATAGTCTGCTGGTAGGTTATTCTAATCCAAAGCTGAACTATAAAAGTATCCATTATTGAGCATAGACGTAGTTAACCTCTATCCATAACATATTTTAGTGAGCAAGCTAAAATTAGTAGGTCTATTTCTTGAAATATATCCCATTTTATATTTTTCTGAACTTTCTCAATTGTCCCCACCAGGGTGTTTTTCTTCATTGCTGAGATATGCTTGTTCGCGGGTTCAATAAAGAATGCCTACCACACCAAGTACCGGAATATTTTCAATGAACCCCTGGATTGCCCATCATTGAGGAAGGGAGTTTTTGCGGCAGGAGCTGCTTTTACTTTGTTCACTGCCATAGTGTCCGAGTTCTACTACGTTTGCTACTCCAAGGCCAGGGACAGCTTCCATCCATATGGTGGCGAAGTGGGTGTGGGTATGGGAACCTACAAATGAGGTGGGTTTATCTGATGCGACCATCCTATAAATGTGAATGCCTGGATCTACATCAATTTGCCTCCTCCATCGCCTGTATTGTGGGTTGCATGTTATGTATTACATGATCAATTTAGTTGGTGATAGTTTGAATCCTAGATCATATTCATGATTTTTTTTTCCTTCTTTCAACATGATGTGAATTTTTGTTTTTCCTATACCTATCAATTATAGAAGACACCTGTTTGTGTATCTACGGAGTGTATAATAATTGATGGCGTTACCTTATTGACCAAGAAACAGTTTGCATGATCTTCACTGGTGTTGCCAAGCATCTAAAGTGGACGATTTTTTTCTCCTGGTTTCTGCAAGGAATCAGTGATTCATCTAAAATCGATACTTCCAAAGATACTGTTTTTAGCTCATCCCAGGAATGAATGTCTAAGGTCTACAATCTAACATCAAATAACATTTTATCTAGCCCTCTTCAATAAAGAATCTTCCCATATTTTTCAACATTAATTTAAAGCTTAATTACGGAAAACTTTGATACTTACGACTTACAAGCGCAAAACAAACATCTCGAAGTGCTTCGTTACGGGCTCATCAGTTTAATATTTAAACATGATCAGGAAAGGATGACTCGTGTAGGAAAATTTCTCACTCATGAAAACTCACCTTTGTATCGATAGATTCAACATCTAATGCAATGAAAAACAAAGTTACCAGAAGAAACTTGAAGCCTTGCTATTGAAACAGCTTTTGTACTGAGGATACCCTGGCGCAAAAAAAAAACTGATTTTGGGAATATAGATTTTTTTTTTTTTTTTTTTTTTGAGATCTAAGCATACTAAAAGATAGAACGCATCCCCAATTCATCCTTGTAATTGGAAACTTCAATTAGCATCTAATTAAAAAAAAAAAACTTTTAGGTATTTCTTGGGAAAGCTAAAAGATACCTTTCATTAATTTGCTGGTATGCATAAGGCCTATATTTATAAATTCTCCCATTACCCATACTTCTCTGCTAGCTTGTGTCGGCAAAGTCAACTTAATCGCCTTCTACTCCACGTCAGGTAAGAACTCGTTTACTTTAGCGTAAATTATATAAGATATACTATAGTTTCGTCCCGGTAACGCTAACACTTATATAAATATATATATTTGAAGGTATTATAAGTAAGATTGATGGTCGCAGAGCTTCCTTTACTTCTTCTTCTTCTTGTTTACGTGTTTTTTATTTTGTTTTTTCGTTTTAAATTTATCCCTCTATGTTTAGTTTCTGTTTTGATATCATCTTTACATTAATTTTTGAGCTAACAATGTTAACTTTTTTTTCCTGTCTTAATCTCATTTTTATAATCTATTTTGCCATCTCAATCTTTTTTTTTTTTTATGGAATTTAAATAAATAAATTTTGAAAAAAAAAACTAAAAAAATGTAAAGATATATCTAGTCATTTTCTCTAAAAATTAAAAAAAAAAAAGAGTAAAGATAAAAATATTTTTTTATCCAAAATATCGTTTATGGGCTTAAATTTGTCTTTATGATAATAAAAAAATTTTGAGTATAAAATAAAATACTTATAGTATTTTTTAAATGTGTCTCTATTATATAGTAAGAAAAATTTGATTATAAAATAAAATATTTATTAGATTCTTTTTAAAATAAAAAGAGAGTTTTAGTTAAATTTGTAAAATCAAAATAAATAAACTATAACAGATTTTTTTGATGTATTATAAAATTATAAATACCATTCAAAATTAACTATAACTCTCACATTAAAAAAAAAAATACTATAAATATTTCATTACATACTTAAAATTTTCTTGCTCATAGAGATAAATTTAAACCCATAAAGAACATTTTAGATAAAAAAAATATATATTTTTTAGCTTCATTTTTTAAGTTTTTTTTTTAATTTTAAATTTTTAGATAGAATGACTAGATATGTCTTCTTCTTTTTTTCTAGATTTTTTTTATTTTTCAAAATGTATTTATTTAAACTTGGTATTAAAAAAAAAAAGATTAAGACCAAAAAATAGAGTATATGGATGGGATTAAGATAGAAAAAAAAAAAAACAAGTAATGTTGTTAGTCCAAAAGTTAACGACTAAGATAGAAACTAAACATAGAGGAATGAATTTAAGAAAAAAAAAATAAAGGACATGATAAATACAATAGAAAGAGTAGAGATACATCTAAAACCATTAACCCATTATAATTATATTGTCTTTAAGTTACAAACTATTAAATATTTTTATTTACTTGTATTATTAATTTAATTTACCATTCAGTAACTTAATTAAATATTTCATAATTATGCTAGTATTTAATATTATTATAAAATTATGATTCAAAACATACAATGTTATCTTCAAAAAAAAAATAAATAAATATTACTCACCATGTAACAATTACATGATTATAAATTGCTAGATAGATTTGCTTCATGAACCATAAAAAAAATTATCTTATTTTTTCATAATTTAGTTAATTGGTCTGAAATTATGAATAATTAAATATAATTAAAAACAAGTTTCTTGTTAACTTTAGAAAAGAAAAAAAATTTCTCTCCACCCCATAAAGAGAGTCTTATTTTATATTGTATTTATTGTTTCACATAGATTAAAAAATTACATGAAATATATATATATATATATATATATATATATTGTATTTACTACGTTTTCCTTTTAAAATTAAATGTAGTGGAACAAAAATAACAAGAGAATTCTATTTTAAAAAGGAATATAGTAAAATTTGACACTCAATTCTTTAATTTTTTGATAAGATACATATATTTTGGGATCTAACTAAAAAAGAAGGAATCTCTTTATTGGATGGAGTATTATTTAAAGGGGCTTTTGTTTCGTAAAATATTTTACATAAAAAAAGTTTAGGATGTTTTATAAGTAATTATATAAAAAAATGCAATGGTAGTATAATGGTGATGATATGTTGTGGTGGGAGTGGTGAGGGTGATGGCGGCATGGTGGTATTGGTAACAGGATGGTGGTGCAAGGCAATGTTGGTAATGGTATTACAGATTGTAAAATATTTTGCAAAACTTCATGTCATGAGCTGAAAATATTTTTCAACAAATGAACTAAATTTAAAGATTGATCGTAAAATATTTTGTGCTGACCAATTTTCTTATAAAAATATTTTACGAGAAACAAATATAGAAAAATATTTACACAAAACAAACGCCTCCTAACTTGTAAAGAAATCATTTTTAGGTGATTAAATTTAGAAGTATTTACAGTGATTACGTCAGAAATACTATTCATAAATTTGAAGACACTATAATTATAATGTATTGAAATAACCATAGCAAACCTCAAATAAATTAGTAAATGAAACATCAACAATAAAACTAAAAGATTTAAAGTGTTTACGACTTATATGAACAAGTTAACACCCTTTCATAGAATATTATTCACACACACTAAAACTATTATTCATTTATTGTTCATGATGATATTTTTATGTTTTTAATGTTTTTTTTTGGCCATTTTAGAGATCAGATTAACAAATATTACACTTTAATTTATGATTTTCTCGACGTTTTGTTTCAATTCACAACTTTATTTTCATCATTATTTGGTCACCGTGTGTAAAAAAGAGACAAAAACAATGAGATAGGAGGAGCGAGAGAGAAAGTTGCAAAGAGATCCATTCTAGCCAAGATGATCGTTGATCTTGGCTTCAATGAGTTCAACTTGGCGATGAGAGTTTATTTATAGTTGTTTCAAGCCATAAAAAGATAAGCGAAATAGATCGAATCTTAATATATATATATATATGAAGTGGTTCCATTTTATGTGAGACAAATTGATTTCAAAATATCAAAAAAAAAAAAAAAAAGCAATAAAAGGTTAGTGTCTTGTGTGTAGATGCATGTATAGTTAATTTTTCATATATGTATGAAAAATTAACTATACATGCATCTACACACAAGACACCAACCTTTTACTGTTTATTTATTTTTTAAATTTTTTTGGATATTTTGAAATCAACTTCATTACCCACGCATATATATAAACTGAGTCATTGATTGTATTGAAAGTGAACTCTATATGTATTTACAAACAAAACACCAACTTTTTACTATTATATATATATATTGAAATCAATTCCTGTCAAATAACACAATAGAAATAATGTTTAAAAACCATTTAATGAAGTCATATTTTTCAAATATCTATATATTTTTTTATGTTAATCTGAAAAATACATGGTGAACTTGAGAGAAAAACCAAATACATCACTAAACTAAAAAATCTTTGATTTTACCCCTAAACAATATGATTTTTTAAATGTGCCTCTTTTGTTAGGGTTTCATTGAAAAATTGAGAAAAATCCATAAAAAATCCTCTTGATTCCTATCTTTTTCTCGGCCAACTTAGGAAACATACTAATAGAGAAAATAGAGGAATTGAAAGAATTTTTAAAGGTTTTTTTTTTTTTGTCAATTTCTCAATAAAATTCTAATAGAATGGACAAATTTTTAAAAATTATATTATTTTAAAAGTAAATTTAAGGATTTATTAGTTCAAGAATATATATATATATATATATATATATATATATATATATATATATGATAGAATATTTTACAATTTACTCTTTTTATATTAATATTATTGATTATTTTGTGAATAAATAAATAAACTTAATATATATACTTTGAAAAAAATAGTTTATCATCAATATTCAACAAGAATAAAAAACTAATTTTTATCTGTTAATTTTTATGTGATTTTTTACATTATTATTGTTTTATTTTTTTATACAATCTTATAAAAAAAATTAAATCAAATATATATATATTTTTTTATTAAAAATTATTACGATTTTTTATTAAAAATTCATGTATAAACAAAAAAAATATATATTTTTTAAGGAGGAAATTTAAGATAAATATAAAAAATTTTGATTAAAAATATTTTATATTAAACGATTTTTATTTTTATTTTTGTTTTATTATTGATTAGATATATTTTAGTTTATCCTAACGTTACACATGCCACTAAACTAAAATGAATTTTTCATTGGGTCCGACCGGCAGCGGGCAAAAGAAGATTGCTCAACTAACAAGATGAATGCTGCTGTGACCGAACATAGAAAATGACTAAAGTGCCCTCATATAAATTGAACCTAGTCAGAATGAGAAATTTCAGAATAATCACACATTCTCTCTCCGTCCTTTCTTCCTCTCGCTCTATCTCTATACCGAATCTAAACCCAGAAAAACCATATACATCAAAACCCAAATAGAACCCTAAATCATCTTAGAAACGTTATTCAAGGTTGTTTAGAAGGATTTTATCTGATCGAATGCTCATTTAGAAGGAAAAGAATTCGGTTAGTGAAACCCTAAACCTAACTTTCATAAATTTTACTATGATTTTTCACTATAGTCCCAATTAACGATAGATTTTTGTGTTTAATCAATTGTATTTGAAAGACGGAGCAAAATCCTTAATTTTTTTTATAATATTTTTCTGTTGTTTGTGAAATTCCAAAGAGAAAGAGAGAGGGTATTGCAATGGCATCAACACTGCTGTTCATGGTGATCTTTGCTATTGATTTCATTGCTTTTGTTCTAGCCCTTGCAGCTGAGCAGATGAGAAGTACTGTGAGTATTGCTTCCTAATTAACTCTTATTCTAATCCGCAGTTCCCCTTACAATTACGTTATCTATAGGCCAAATTGGAGCAGCAATTAACTTAATCCTCTCTAATCTTTATGAATCGAAGAGTCTGCTTTCTTTTGTTTGATAAACACCTAAAGGGAAAAAGCCAAACTAATTCAAAACTGATTTAACAGCAACACACAGTATGAGATTGCCTCTCAGATTATTTATTTATTATTATTTTTTTTTTTTGAGTTTGATTCTCTAACAACTGAATGTTCGATTCAATTATTAAAAACCAGAAGATAATAATTATATCATATTTTACGTAAGATGGAGTACTAAACATGTTTTAAACCATTGGCTGCTGCTCAATCAATAACGAACCCCACATTCCCTTTTCTTTTTTCTTTCTTTCCTTTCCTGTATTCAGCAGCATAAATCACATTATAATGTTCACTATTGAAAATTTTCAGGCCAAGGTTGTTACTGACATTGACGAAAACTATAGCTACTGCGTCTACAGCTCAGACATCGCAACCAAATTGGGAATTACTGCATTTGTTTTACTTTTGGCAAGTCAAGTTTTCACAATGGGTGCCAGCTCCTACTTTCGAAAGGGTATGAACTATGGAGGCATTAGGAATTCTGCAGTTGTTCTAGCCATAATAAGCTGGTTAGTGATCATAATGAAGTTATCAGAATCTTTAAATCCGGTCTTTTAATTATGAGTTCCACAATGTTTCCATGCAACTATTGATACCAAATTTTTTTATGCAACATGATATAAATCAGGATTACATTCTTCATTGCTGAGGCATGCTTACTAGGTGGTTCAATCCAGAATGCCCAACGGACCAAATACAGGACCATATTCGTTAATGATGGTCCTAATTGCCAGACTCTAAGAGAGGGAGTTTTTGAGGCAGGAGCAGCTTTCATATTGATCACCAGCATAGTTTCCAAGATGAGCTATGTCGGCTGTTTCAACTCTGAGGGAGGATTGGAGAGCGGCAGCTACGAGTTGGGAACCTACACTTCACTTAATTCAGGTGATCAACATAATCACATCCTGAACGACATAGATGCATTAGTATTATGATTTTTTTTTCTTTTTTATGAATTGATGTATCATTGTATTGGCTTTCCGACTTGTTTAAATTGTTAAGGAATGTGCAGTACACCAATAAGAAACTCAATTCTGCAGACAGCAGTGGTGCAATGGCTAGTATGTAAAAGGGAATTAGCAATATCACTTCCTGATACTGTGCAATCCTATTGTATTTATAAAATATAGTCCTTCCTTTTATTGTAATCTTTTGCAACTATAAATACATAATAGAATATAGAGTTCTTCTTCATCTGCTGTGAGACATGACTTGATCCCAAACAAGCCAAATTTAAGATTGAGGATTCTACTAAAGGAAAAAACCTGTGTGATCTTTTACATTGCTGCCCAGCATGAAGTGAGATCAATTATTTGTCTGTCTTTTTTTGTGGTTCTGAGGGGGGTTGTTTTTGGTATTATCTTCGGTTCTTACAGAAGAACTTGTTTGAGGGGTTGGTTGATATAGTTTCGGTTAGTACGGAAAATTTTTTTGTTTCTCTTCAAAAATAGTAAAAACAGAACTGTTTTTCAAAATTAAACAAAATGGTTTTCATAAATTGTGACAGTGGTTCTTCGTTTTGTTTTATTTTAATAAAATAAAAACCAAAACAAACAAACAATTTTCTATTTCTATTTCTAAAAATTGAAAACAAAAACAAAAAACAAAGATCACAAATGATGTCAAACAACCCCATTTTCGACCTACCGTGTGCTGTTATTTATAAATGAGTGTAATTAATAATGCAAGACTTATATATATATTTACTAACTCTCTCACTTCCCATGTTTAAACACGATTAAGGTATTTAGGGGGGGGGGGGGGATGAACATCACCTGAAACAGACTGCCATTGTTATGGATTAGATGTGGTAATTGCCTTTTGTCAAAGGGTGAATAACCTATCGAAATTTCAGTTTTTCCAAACTTAAAGATATATAGATGAAAGAAATGATTTTTTCTGCAATTTTTTTGTTAAGCTTTTCTTATTTTGGAAAAAAAAGTCAGAAGCCCCAATCAATCGGTGTGATATTTTGGCAGTTTCCTCTTTGTCGTTTCTTTCACTGAATTTGAGAATAAGTGGTAGACATGAAAGTCCTTGAGAAAGATTCTAACAAAAGCCTTTTTGTTACATAGAACACAAGGTGATATTATACCTTGGCTAATGAACGATTACAAGAAAAAACATTTGCGCAAAGGAGACGAGTTCTAACAAGAATAGGAATTTATTTCCAGGATTTGTTTCTCCTTTTCCATTTACTACTAAGATTTGCATAAAAAGGAAGTAACTGTATAAGGGATTGAATTTTATCTTTTAAAGAAAAAAAATGTGAATTAATTCTCATTCGTTCATTCTTTTTTTTTTTTTTTTTAAGAGCTTAGATCAAACTCTTAAAATTATCTGTTTTCTCTATATTTTTGTAGTATTAAAAAATCTAGAAGCAAGTAAATGGCTAGTTTATCAAAGGAATTTCTTCAATTGACTACTTGCGATTTTGAATTAAGGTTGGTTAATGGAGCAGCTACTGAGGCCCAGCCATGGGCTTATAGTTATTGGACCAATGCCCAATCAACAACTCGAGTAGGCCTTAATTGTCTGGTTACAAACAGCCATCTTAACGTTGGACCAAAAAGCACTAGAAGGGGATCGCCAGAAGTGACTCAGTGATGATTGCCATCAGTTGCCTTCTCTCGAATTGTTTTTTTCCTTTTTCCTTTCTTTCAATTATCAAGAGCAGGTTAAGATGCTTTCTTTATAAACCGAATTGATGCAGTGCAAGAAGCTATTTCTTAACTTCTCGCTGTTTTTGAAAACTTATCACTTTTATTTTTTAGTCTTTATTTATTTTGCTACTTGCACTCCAGTTCAATATATATATATATATTTGATCAGAAACCATAAAATTTAATTTTTTTAATAAATATAATTTTAAAATTCAAGCTTTGCATGTTAGTAGAAAATTTATTTAAATACCCATTTGTTAATATTTAGCTCACACACTGTATACTCCATATATAATTTTTTTTTTTTTTTTTTAAAGTTATGATTACCACTTTTGAGAGTAATTAATAGGACTGCCCTTTTTCTTAGGAGATAAAAAACACTTTCCCTTTCAACACCTCGAGGAATACAGCATGCAAAAAGCTTATTGATGTGATGACCGATGACGATGCCTTCTTCTTTCCTTTTCTTGTCTGTACCTTTTTCTCCCGAAGTGAGTATTTTGAAAACGGGACACTGATTTGTGTGGTTTTTTGCCACGCCGAAAAATACATCAATCCCTATACTACGTAGAATTAAGCAGATTGTGAGTGTATAATTTTTTAGCGACTTATTCCATTGACAAGTGTGTATATTTTTCATGTTAGCATTTACAATTTAAATTCTTTTTTAAAAAAAAGTAATAAAAAATAATGTTATCAATAATGTATTAGTCAAAATATCAATGATTTGTTTAAAATTTAATCAGGAAGGAGCATTAGGTTCTCGATACACTAATAATGCAACTAAATTATATAAAATAAAAGCCGTACGTGTATGAGCTAAAATGTCAAGGCAGGTTGATTTTAGCCAATTGGGCAGCGACTGGGTTAGCTAAAGGACCATAATGCATACAAATTAAAGAAAGATCCACTTGCTAAATTTTAAAAAACTTGATTATCTTCTCCATATTATTGAAACTTTCTCATTCTCAAGATGAGGATTAGATTATGGGAATTTTAATTAAATTCTTAAGTGGAAAGCATGTTATATCACTGTCACCACTGCCAATTTCCTCCTTCTTTTCTGTCTGTTTTTATTTTTAAACAAGGAATCCATTTCAAGCTCAACACAGGCTGTGGGGAATCAAGCCACGTGCTGTGTTCCTCTTTGTCAAATTTATTCCTACTAAATCTAATCTGCTTATATGTACATGAGTTGTTTGCATGTCATTTCATAAATATTTTATTATATATATATATATATATATATATATACTGTGTATCTAATTCACAATAGTGGAAAACCGTATAAGCAAATCATGTTTAGGTAACGGGCTGGAGGTTTCCTTCCTAAATCATGAACAATATTAACATCAAATCAAAATTAATTTTGCCTAAATTTATTGACATGTAGAATTGGACCAATGATTTGTGTTTAAGGCTTTTATGTTCTATTTTTTGGATCTCTCTCTCTCTCTAATTCATCGTAAAATATGCTGGTTTTTGAAATATACAGCGTAGAATAATCCTCAATTTTTTTTAAAAAATATCGAATATATGATCGTTAGATTATATTTGTGTAATTTTTGAATTTTTTAAAACATTATAAGTAATTTCCGATAGAATAAAATTAGTCATGGCAGAATATGTCTGTCTTTAATCTAACATATGGAACTGGTATGAGTTCCAAACGTAGTATCATAAACGATCTGGAAAAAACTCGAGGTCATTTTATCACAATGTAATAAAATAAATTTAACCATTTGAAGGTTGCTTTGGCATACTGATTCCTTTTTCTGTCAAGAATGCACTAATTTTATCATATATACCTAACTCCTTTTCATGTTTCTCTGATGAATAACTATTTCCATAATTTTTCTCAATTTTTAAATCAAATTTAGATTCATCAAAACTGTCACAAAAAAGGTTTTAAAGCTATTTCATGGTTTTTTTTCCCCCTCCAACTCAGGCTGTATTCTCATTGTCTACAGCTACAGTTGAAAAATTTTAAAAAAAAAAAAATCATGTTTCATGCACGGCATGACTTTATTCTTGATGCCGAATGGCATGTACATACTTCGAACATTAAATTCATGGATAAATTAAAATCATAAATTGCTGGTGTAGTACTGGCACTTTAGCAACCACATCATGCATGACATAAGATTTTTTTTTTTTTTTTAAGGAAAATAAACATAATATTTTCATTAATGAAATCAGTTTGATTAGTCAGATTTAGTGGGATATAATATACTATTCACTTATTTTTGTTTTAGGGGCATGCCCAGAACATCATGTTGGACCAACTATTACTAAACTCGGTCATTAACTTTGCTGATTTTTATTTTTAATTTTTTTATTGAACTTTGCTGATTTTTTCCCCATATATTGTTAAACAGCAATAACTAGACAGACAAATTTGAATGTGGAAATAGACAAAAAGAATTAATTTTTTTTAAGAAATATTACCCATTCATAAAAAGAGGTATTAACCAAACTAATTAGCAGTAAGGGGATTGTCTTGATTTAGCTATCCAAAGTTCAATTCTCATTACCTACGGATAATTTGTTATAATTATTTTTTAGTTGTATCAAACTTTTGACTCATTTGATTTAAAAAGAAGCTAAGTGGTCGATCAAAGATTAAATATATTTTGACACTAGGCTAGTCCATAAAATAATAAATTTAGTCTCTACTAATTCATATATTGATTCGAAAATACCTCATTATTTGTAAATATAAAAATATAATAATTACAGCGCACATTTTACTAGTATTATAGTTATCCAAAAAGCCTCGTTCTATTTACATTAAAAAAAGTTTAATATTTAGATTGTAAGATGATGTCTATATGTTTAGCATTCATTTTCTAGAACCGCAGCCAACAAGACCCATAAAGAGGATCGCCGTGGAAACAAACATCCATAAATTTTTTGTCGCAAAGCCCAAAAATAAAAGACTTGACATAGCATAGTAGCTACAAGCTATTGCTCCAAAATTTAAAGAATAAAAATAAGACGACACATTCCATTCTAATTAACTATAAATGTCAATAAAACTAAATCCAAACCTACGATACAAAACATAAACCTTCAAATCAGAGGAAACGCGACTTCTTCACCTGGGACCCGATGGAAGCTTTCGAAGTCCAACTTGACAACGAGCTTGCTTGGCTCCATTACAATGTTTTATGATTTGATTGATGTGTTGTCATATATTGCCAAACGCAGATATTAATGGTTGGCTCCATTATAATGTTATTATGATTTGATTGGCTCTATTATAATCTGTTATATACTTTTATAATGACTTTAAAGGACATAAACCCAAGCTTCTTAGTAGCCAAGTTAATGAATAAGAAATATCTAAATTATATCTTGAAGTTGAATTAGTTTATTAATATATCATGTATTTGTATTTACTTTAATTTAATTGTTTTATAAAAAATTATGTATTTTTTTTTATTATGAATAGCACATGACAAGATAAAATTTAATTATTAATTATTAGATATTTATTAAAAATCAAATGTAAATAACTTCAAATGAAAACTATAATAAATATATTCCTCTCGATACAAGGTGAAGAAAATGAATGAATAATATAATATTGAGAATATTATTTTAAGCAAATATCATTGACAATTTCTTATGTTCAAAAAGGTTGATACCATTTTTTTTTTTTTTTTAAGATTTAAGAAGAACTCAGATGAGAGGGACGAAAAAATATTTGAGGAATAGGGGTTAGTTCATTTGATAGAAAGAGATAATTTGAACATCTTAAATACAACAAATTTATCAAATTTAACTGTCATAATGACTTAATTAAGAAAAAAAATTTATGATATTCCAAACTAAATATACTAATTCTGAAAATCATATCTTTTTTTTAAAAAAAAGGATACACTTAATTTTAATTGGATATTAAAATGATTGGGACTTGATCCTTGATCGGAACCTGATTTTTGAACTCCTCAGAATCCAATCTTGATCTTAACGTCGAGCGACTTAAGCTTAGTCCCATCCTAACAGCCAATTGTTTTAGATAATGTTTCGATCCTGAGCATGGGCGCTACAACATCGATCCTGACCTGCACCAGGGGAACTCTACACTTGTCTCAAATAGCATCTCGAGCCTCCTAGATCAGGTCCCATATCGACCGCTAAGGTGAGCACCCAAGACTCAATCTCGTCCCAAATCTCAAGCTTCCCAAACCCTAGGTGCCTTAAACATAGTCTCGGCTCAATCCTGGGACACCCCAGATCTGATCCCAACCCAAGCCCTAGTGCCTCGAACTCAACCCCCTCGGCACCTCAGACTTGGTCTTAGTTCGAGCCTCAACGCCCTGAACCGAGTCCCTGATCACCCTGCAAGCACTCTAGACTAGATCCCAATCCAAATTTTGAGCTTCTCGAACTAGATTTCAACACGAACTCCCAACATGGTCCATGCTCATTTCTCAACTTTGAACTCAATCTAATGGTGATGTTCTAAAAAATTAGTTTTGAAAACCTTTTTTTTATATATGTTTTCAAAACTTTTTGCTAATTTTAATTTTTTGAAAACAAAAAACAACAAAAAGATAAGTTTTCTTATCTTGTTTTCAAAAATTTAAAAATAAAAAACAAAAATATACCAAACAACACTTTTAAGTTATCTTTTTAAAGCAAAGGGACAAAGTTATAACTTACTCGTTTGAATTTTATAGCAGGCTTTGTGCTCATATTTCCTTACCGCATGTTTGGGTAAAACAAAAAGGAGTCGCTAACATCTCGTGTTTAAGATACAAGCCAAGGGGATGTAACTCAATGGCCCAACTCAATCATGTGAAGAATATATTCTGACCTAAAGAAAAGTAAAAGTCGAAACTGGAAAAAGAATTAAATAAAATTGGAATGAGGGCCATAATTGCAAATATGATTACAATGATGATAACTGATCCTAATTCTTGAAAGATACAAGCAAATACAATCCGAATTATTAATATGAAAAAACAAGTCTACTTTTTCAACCCTTAATTAAAATTTTCCTAATCCATCGAATTTCTTTTCGATTTCTCTCATGGCATCACCAAAAAGATTTTTTTTTTTGAACAAAATCACTAGGAAGGTTGAATAATCAAACAAGAAAGAATAAGAAAAATTAAACGATAACGATGAATATGTATAACTCAAATTCCTATCATAATATAGCTTTTCTACCCGAAGGTATAGTTGAACTATTGTAAGATGAGATGAATTTTAGCATCATTGTATAAATAGTTTAAAAGTTTTTGTTTTTTCTAAAGAATTACTAAAATCCCAAAGATATGTCCGATGTTATCTGCATTAAAAATTTATAGATTTAGAAACAAGTACCATGGATGATAGATTTATATGCTAGATTTAGACTTCGATTCTTGTCGTCAATATTTTTAAAAATTTATTTTCAAAATACTCAAAGTCATGCATTAGAAATAACTCCTTAACCACGGTTAAAAAGGAAATAGTTTTGAAGTGTGCAAAAATTAGCTCGAAAACACTCTTATTATTGAAAAAAAAAAACATGGACACAGAATTAAGATTTTAAATTTTGGTTCGGAATCCATTAGAAATCATTTATGAAAAAATAATTTTCACCTTTGAGACTTTGCATCATAATTATACATAACTTATGACCATTTAAAAAAAATAAAAATTCAAGTTAAAAAAATATGTTTGGTAAAAAAAAATGACCCAAAACAATTTTTGGTTAAAAACAAGGTGGTATGATCAGTCAAAAGTCAAATTAATTTTCATTCCTCATCCTCCAAAAAAAAAAAAAAAAAGTCAAAAATCATACGAAACAAAACCTAAATAATTTTGTGCATGAAAGTCTTGTCACATTTTCTGAAAAATTATTTACTCCCATTGCCTTTAATTATATGGAACTTGAAGAGAGTTTATGTAGTTCCTGGTTTTTTCACTTTTATACAGAGTAGTATTATATTTTTTGCATAGTAAGGTAGGATTGTATGTGGTTTCCAAGACCCGTGGATAGAAACAGAAGGAATTTGGGCGACGCATTGGTTTGATCAAAGCACACGAACATCTACAAAGTCAAAAGACAGCTAAATATACAATTCTCAGTTCTACATAACACAGAACTACTTGCAAATTAAAAAAAACAAAGTCAATGAATTTGGTCACTTTTGCCTTCGTCTGTTAAGCCAAATACTGGATTATTTTACCAGAGGTTTTATTCCTTTATATATATATAATCAAATTAAAGGATTTGGCCTCATAAAACAGCAAATATATTTCACCAGGGCATGCATGTAGGCCGTATGTTGATGTGATGGAAAGATGGCACATTGTCTGATTATTTAATAAAGTACCATTATTGATATTCATGACCCTATTTATATTTGATTTGATGTTCCAAGTGGGGCAACAAGCGTTTCCAACCAAAGATAAAAAAAATGATTTGTTGAGAGCAAACAACGAAATCTAACAGTTGAAATATTATTATGCACCACTAGTTGTCTTCCTGCTTTGGAGGAAGACGAAATTTCTCATTGTGTGGTGGGCAAAATTTAATAATTTTATCACGTTTTTACAAATTATTATGCATGGAAAGTGGCATAGTAATATCATCACCATCATCATTAAATATAGAAAGTTGGTAACTTTTTTCACGAACCAAAAATGAGAGGGAAAAAAAGAAGTAGTGTTATTTTACATTTGAATTTTAATTGAGAAAATTTATTTTTATGTTTTTCTAGAATCCTGCATGTCTTCTATTTTTTTCCCCTCAAAGATTCATTGCAGGAAAAAAAAATCTTATTGGTGATTCACTAGTATAGTTTATCGATAATTTAGTTATTATGTAAATATGATAGAAGTGAAAACATTCTTGTAATTTGTTCGAAATTTCTCGAAACTATATGGTTTGAGAAAAAAGATTTTCTCTTCTCCCTCTTAGGAAAGAATAAATAAATAAAATAACTCCTCCTTCGCCAACCCACCTTCTTGGCTCCTCGTTTGTCACGATGCCAAGTTGCCAACCCCACTGTCCACGTCTCTTGGCCCTTTTTTTTTTTCTTTTCTTTTGAAAAAATTAAGAAGAAAAGGAAAGACAAGACCATTCCTACCATAGTTTAACTTTATGAAAGTCTTGTCTAGACATTACTGACAGTTAGTTACAAAAACAAGTCCTTCAGCAAACTGGCTTGGGAGGATGATAATCGATATCCTTCTCAAGATTTTTATTGCCATTTCTATTCCAGCGTATGAAGCTCGAGGCTTATAAACTTGACAAATACCCTATCATTCGTCCAATCTTAACCTTGCAATACTGTTTTGTGCAATACTGTTTTTATTGTGATATTTCCTGAAACAAACTCCTTTTTAATCTTAACCTTGCTTATAATTTCCAACATCGACCAAATACCCTATCATTCGTCCAATCCCTTATAATTGGCACCTAACACACCAAATATCCAATCATTCATCTCATCTTCTATAATTGCCATACAATAATTCATTTCTCATTTGTGCATTTAGCCATTTGGGCCTCTCATGCTTTTTAATCCACTCTTTATTAATATCTATATAAATCCTTACACTGCACGTTCAATTAAGGCCACGACCTTGAAGTTTATGTTCTTCATCGCTACGTTGTCTTTAATATCATGTAGCTTAATAGTACAACTTACAAAACAAACACCATGTTTCTTTCTCTCTAAATAACCCAAATACTTTGTCTAGGGACATTTTTCCTGTTCTGACCTCCCTTACATGTGCGAGGGGGTGATCTAGCAAGGCAGGCCACCGACGCTCTCTCTTTTCTAAGCTTCTTCCTCTTCTTAAAGTAAATTATATATAGTAGTTAATTAATGTCCTACACGAGCTACACAAACTTCATGTACCAAGAATGCATGAGTTGTGACTTGTACGTGATGCTTTTTTGGTCAATTGAAAAGGAAGTGCTTGTTTCGTTGGAGAAAGAGGAAAAAAAGGTTATATTTTCTTTTCTTTAAATAATAAAAATGGAACCTAAACATGTTTAGTTGGTTTTCTCTTCCATTATTGTTATTTTTCTTTTCTTTTTTTGGTGTGTTGGGGGGGGGGGGGTGGTCGGGGTTATTATTTTACGAATATGAGTTTTAATAATGTAGGTTGTTAATTAGGGTAAAAAAAAAGCATCATTCTTTTCTTAAATTATATGTTTGCGATGGGGAGTTGAAATTGTAATTTATGTGATTCTACAAATGAAAAAAAAAAAAAGTATGAGCTTATGGTTCAATTTACATCCACATTCTCCTCTTTTTTTTGAAAATAAAAATCAATTCCAATCTTGCCTTTGTAGCTAAATCAAGGGAAAAAAAAAGAAAAAAAGAAAAGAGACGTTGTTTGCAACAGCATAAATCGGACGTACACAGTTGCAAATCTGAAGCCGCTAATAGTTTGCAACTACAAGCTTGGTTGCCAAGTGAAAAAAAAAAACCGATTTGCAATTAAAAAAAAAAAAAACTATGCGTTTACAACTTGGTCCATTTTGCAACTAAGTTGCGGTTGCAAACGGCACTTTTATTTAAAAATTTTGGCTGCAAATTTTTTTTTTTTTTTGTGATTTTGGTTTTTGTAGTTTTTTTATAGCCTAAAAAATGATAAATATTTGAGTTAAATTATAAAATTAATTTCCAATATGTATTTGAAATAATTCAAAATTAAATATGAAGATCATTTTTAATTTATCTTAATATGAAAATCAATTTTAACACCCAATTGACATTAAAGCTTTTAATCATATATCAAAAATTAGATTTCAAACTACGGTAAATAAACAAAATGTAATTTAAGTAACACGATTACTATTAAATACATATAAAGGAGATAAAGAGAGAGACAACAAATACGGTAGGTATAATTATGAAAGTAGAGGTATATACAAGTATTCTTATAATTAAGGGCGTAGATATTAATCGAAGATGGAGGTTGATGGTGTGGTGGTTGATGGTGTTATGTCAAGAAAAAATACACTCTAACACTTTGTCTCTCACAACCGTGAAATACATCCTTACTTGCTCTAAATATACATATACGGGACTTTTGTATTGAAGTAACTCTAACAATATGAGAACACCTTATTCACCAATCTCATCATTAACCCATTGGGTTTAATTCACTCTTTTTAGGAAGAAACATAAAA